TCTCACCCTCGAGGAGGAGGTATGTGGCGCCTCTCACCCTGGAGGAGGAGGAGGTGTGTGGCGCCTCTCACCCTGGAGGAGGAGGTATGTGGCGCCTCTCACCCTCGAGGAGGAGGAATGTGGCGCCTCTCACCCTGGAGGAGGTGGTATGTGGCGCCTCTCACCCTGGAGGAGGAGGTATGTGGCGCCTCTCACCCTGGAGGAGGAGGTATGTGGCGCCTTTCACCCTGGAGGAGGAGGAGGTGTGTGGCGCCTCTCACCCTGGAGGAGGAGGTATGTGGCGCCTCTCACCCTGGAGGAGGAGGTATGTGGCGCCTCTCACCCTGGAGGAGGAGAATGTGGCGCCTCTCACCCTGGAGGAGGAGGTATGTGGCGCCTCTCACCCTGGAGGAGGAGGTATGTGGCGCCTCTCACCCTGGAGGAGGAGGTGTGTGGCGCCTCTCACCCGGGAGGAGGAGGAGGAGGTGTGTGGCGCCTCTCACCCTGGAGGAGGAGGTGTGTGGCGCCTCTCACCCTGGAGGAGGAGGTGTGTGGCGCCTCTCACCCTGGAGGAGGTGGTGTGTGGCGCCTCTCACCCTGGAGGAGGAGGAGGTGTGTGGCGCCTCTCACCCTGGAGGAGGAGGTGTGTGGCGCCTCTCACCCTGGAGGAGGAGGTATGTGGCGCCTCTCACCCTGGAGGAGGAGGTGTGTGGCGCCTCTCACCCTGGAGGAGGAGGTGTGTGGCGCCTCTCACCCTGGAGGAGGAGGTGTGTGGCGCCTCTCACCCTGGAGGAGGAGGTGTGGCGCCTCTCACCCTGGAGGAGGAGGTGTGTGGCGCCTCTCACCCTGGAGGAGGAGGTGTGTGGCGCCTCTCACCCTGGAGGAGGAGGTGTGTGGCGCCTCTCACCCTGGAGGAGGAGGTGTGTGGCGCCTCTCACCCTGGAGGAGATGGTATGTGGCGCCTCTCACCCTGGAGGAGGAGGTGTGTGGCGCCTCTCACCCTGGAGGAGGAGGTGTGTGGCGCCTCTCACCCGTACGGTCCAGTGCACTCATAATAGTGGCATAAAACAGTCATTAAACACTGGAGGTGTGGGAGTGAAGGGGCCGGGAGGGCGAGCAACCCGGCCCCCTAATAGCACATCACATGTTGACGTAGACTCTACCGTAGGCCAACAACTGTTGTACCTGACAGTGGTAGCGCCGCGTGAAATACACAATGTCCCGTTTTCTGCCCGTGGATCTTCTGGTAGGTTAGGATAAGGCACTTTAGCACGACAGTTTCTTGACATTGGGAACGCTGGCGAGAACGGGCTGGGTGGAGGGAGGAAGAAGGGCGGAGGAGAGGGAGCACGGGAAGTAGTGAGGAATGGGGGGGAGGGGGTGAGAGGCTGGGGAGGGGGGAGAGGCGGGGGAGGGGGAGACTGCAGGAATCCGATGCTTAATATGCACTACTAGGTTTTTTTTACCTGCTTCCTTCTGACTCCTAGAAGAGGTTACCACCTCCACACACTGGTGGTGGCGGCGGCTGTGTGGTACAGGTACAATGGAGGTGGTACAGGTATACTGGAGGACTGTATCAAGACCTGTAGGTGATTGTAGTTAAGGGTGTCAATAAAGATGCTGATGGTTCTTGAGGTTTTCCCAGCATCCCTTGAAATTGTGCTTTTTTGAGCACCATCGTTCTTGAAGTGACGGCGTGACCTGTGACCTCACGCTGTCAGGTCACTGCTCATAGCGTCGAACATGATCTGTGTCCGAGAGATCTTTTATAGTAATATTATCGTCAAGATCAGTGCAACTATGATGCCTACTGCAGGGCAGCAGGAGTGGTAGAAAGAAGGAAGGAACAGCCGGAAGGAGAGAGAGAGAGAAGGAATCACTATCAGCACACATCTCGCGGTCTCTATCACCATTACCAGTTATATCATCATTTAATACCGATAGCGAGAGTACTATGAAGTAGGATTACAAATCCCAACATCTACATACATAACCCTGGGGACCACGGGTTCTGACCAATTCAGGTCTTGCAATTGTGTGTGGAAGTGGAGCAACACGGCTCCTGCCTCTCACAATTGCTAGATCACTATCACATGGCCTTAGGTGCCATGTGCAAAATGCAAAATGCAGATGTCATAGACACAGCTTTCGACAAATGTGACCATGGAGCTATTGCCCACAAAATGCACTTGAAAAGAATTACTGATAAAATAGGGAGAAGGATCTTTAATTTCCGAACGAACAGAACACAGAGTAACAGGCAATAAATTATAATCCGGATCATCCGCCGTAAAAAACTCGCAAGATATTGTACTTTCTCTGGTACTTTTTCTCATCCTCATATCAGACATAGACAAGGATACAAACTGGAGCACTGTATCATTTGCAGATGCCACTTAATATTTTCATGCGAGTAAACAGAGGGAAACCAGTTAGTCTTAAATTTGATGATTAATTGGGTCTTTCAATGGGCCACCTGGTAATACTATGATGTTTAACTAAGTCAAATTCCAGGCTTGTGCTATGGAAAAATCGGAAATATAAAAATGGAAACCATACATAAAACGCAGTCAAATTATACTATAGAACGAAAAAAGCAATGTAAAGGATCTAGGAGTAATCATGTCGAAAGAGCTTACCTTTAGAGAAAACAATAAGGTAACTGTCTTTGACTGCAAGAAAAATGACAGGTTGGATAACAAGAACTTTCCAAACAAGGGATGCCATAACATTGATGATACTTTTCAAGACACTAGTGCTCTATATGGTGGAATATTGTTGCCCACTAACAGTCCCATTCAGAGCCGGGGAAATTACTGACCTGGAGAGCATGCAAAGATCCTTTACTGCTAGAATCCACTCTATGAAACATCTAAATTATTGGGACCGATTAAAAGTTCTAAATCTGTATTCTCTAGAGCGCAGGCAAGAGAAATACATAATAATTTACATATGGACAATATTAGAGGGACTGGTTGTAAATCTGAACACGGAAACATCATCACACGAAACCAGTAGGCATGGCAAGATGTGCAGAATACCACCGTTGAAGAGCAGAGGTGCAACAGGTACTCTGAGAGAGAACTCTATCAACATCAGAGGCCCGAGACTGTTCAACACGCTTCCACTACACATAAGGGGCATAACTGGCCAACCCCTCACAGTGTTCAAGAGAGAACTTGACAAACACCTCCAAAGGATACCTGATCAACCAGGCTGTGACTCATACGTCAGGCTGCGAGCAGCTGCGTGCAACAGCCTGTTTGACCAGGCGACCAGACAGGACGCCTGGCCAGAGACCGGGCCACGAGAACGTTGATCCCCGGAACCACCACAAGAAAGTAGACAAGTAGCTTCGAAGTACAATGAGATTGTTTATAACAATAATATGAACATCGTAAACTATTTAATAAATATAAAAATACTGTCATAATTAAGGAAAGATGTACAGGTTTCGTAAGTGGTTGCATAAATTTTTGACGAATCCTAGCCCAGGACAAGATGCAAGTCGTCAGGAATATAAGAGAGTGGCAAGAGGCCCTCAGCTTGGGGAGTGCATAACGCATCTCGAGGATGGTTGTGTATTTAAAATTGTACTTTGATATATTGAGATTAATTGTATGATTAAATCTTCTGGCTTTTCTCTCTTCCTCTCTTGCCCTTACGTCCTTTTTTCTCCACTCTCCAGCTTTTTGACCAGCGGCCTGGATGTAAAATCTACATAAAATTGAAACGGAATATAAATTGACTCCGCTGGGTTCAGGTTCCCCATCCCCCTCTCCTTACCCATCTCCAGGTTCCCCATCCCCTGTTTAGTACTCTACCACAGCTTTCTCCCCCATATTCATCCCATGCTTATCAGTTATTGTATATCCATACTGTCCAGGTAGCCTCCACCAGTCCCTTCTCCCGTCTCACTACAGCCTCACACTTCCGTCTTGACTTACGTCTGATCTCTCTCCATATAAGAAATATAAGTCTTGACAACAGAAGACCTCTGTTTGGGCTGCAAGGTCTTACGTTATTCCATTTCAGCTCTCCCGCCCCCTTTACACTCCTGTCCCACCTTGTCCCACCTTTCCACCCGTCCCACACCCCTCCGCAGTCGGCCAGGTCCCGGAGGCGCTGTGTAATTGAGACACATTAAAGTGAATCAAAATACATATTTGGCAGCGTCCCAGAGGCGCATATGCAAATGAGGGTGGCGACTATGATTTCTACCGTGTGGCGAGACGTCATAAGGTCTGTTACTGCAGGCTCTGGACCCACATAAGAATGCAACCGATAAAGTATTTGCTTAAACCTGTGGTGGAGTGCTTCAGAATTGTTGGGACGTCTCCCAGAATGATTAGTGCGTGTTGGGGAAGGGGCTTGGTGCCGACTGAGCGATGTCATCCGGTAGTGAAGGGGGTTTGTGTCTAAAAATGATTTGATGGAAATTGTAGTGATCTAGATCTCTCTCTGGAGATGGTGAGAGGTAAAGTGTTGTTGGCTTCCGTGTTGGAGTGGTGGAGGGAACGGGAGTGGTGGTGAAGAATGGTGACGGTACTCGCCTAATAGTGTCTCCAGAGGCCTGAGGTCTACTTCCTTATGCCTCGCCTAGTTCTCTCTCTCTCTCTCTCTTGGGTCACAATAAAACTATTCTGACGTTAAAATTCTTTGTCGAATAACGCCATAAAGTTGTGGAGGGGAGTGGCTTCCACAACACTTTCACTGAATTCCACTTGTTGAGGAGCAATACAGGTACTGTACAAGTATTCCTTACATTTCTTCGCCCCATCTGCATATCCAGCTTCCACCTGTGTATTGTCCTGCTATCTCAGTTTTAAATGACTATCCTTGTTCACCTTGTTTATTCTCACTACCACCTATGTTGTGATCATATCCCCTCTTTCTCCTATCCTCTAGGATTACGAGATTTAGACCCAAGATGTATTCCCACGGGAATACATCTTGTACTATTTTGGCTTTGAACTGGTCATGAGACTAACATGTACTTCTCCACCTTTCCTTCCCTACAGGTACATGAAGTACTTGTACCCTCTAGAGTGCGAGAAGATGAAGCTCTCCAACCCATCCGAGCTACAGAGTGCCATTGATGGCAACCGGAGGGAAGGACGCCGCTCCTCCTATGGCACTTATGGTGATTCCGTCCAACCACCTCTCCTTCCTCTTCAGAACCTCCAGTCACTCCAGAACCTTCAGAACCTCCAGAACCCACTGAGTTTAGTTCCTCGACCGCAACTCAATGGCAATGGTACGGCGCATCCCTTGGCGGCTCAAGACTACCTATTGGGTGAGTGTTGCCCTATTGTTGTTTGATTATACGCCCCTTCTGCTGACGCCTCTAGAGGCTGGACGTGTGCTCGCTCTTTACGCAGTAACATATTAGTGTGCGCATGTGTGTGCGTGTTGTCCACCCAGCGGGAGAATGTGAAGTTCGATACAGAACCTTTTGCTCATGCCAGAGGGGTGGGTACATTGATGATTGTTGGCACTTACTGTCGGGGATCGAACGCCGACTTTTATGGAGTGAGGCCATCGCGTACCGAACATATTTCTGTTAATCAATACATCTTCAAAAGTTCAATCAATGTAGGATTGTTGAAGATTAAGCCACCACAAGAGGTGGCATGGGAATGAGTAGCACGTAAGTGGTAGATTTCTTGGAGTGAATGTGATCTTTGGTTTCGAAAGGATATACCCTGTGCTGAGGAATCAATTTATAACAGCATCTGAATATATAGGCTGGAAGGCGACGTGTGAGGTAAAAAATGTCTTTAAAATTCATGAACATAAGTACAGGAGGAAACTGCAGGCTGAGTAATGGCCAAAACATAACAGGAGGAAAATACATAATGACCAATACACGTTTAACAAATTACAAACCCATACAACATGAATATTAGGAGTGGTTATACAATTTAGATCCATTTTAATTGATAAATTAAGAGTAATAAGATGACTGATACACAGATATTCCATTGGGGATAGTGCTTCCAGAAGCTCACATGTATTGGTCATTAGGCCTTCTGCAGTTTCTTCTTGTTCTTATGTTCATGTAGGGAGTAGAACTCAGAGCACCCACCCCAGACATTCTCCAGGCATCTTCTATACCTGCGACAAGATTTGCACCGCGACACTAAGACCCATGGAAGATGACGAGCCCTTTGCTGTTGGTAGCCGAGTTGACGAAGTCACTGGTGTTGTTTTAGATTCAGCTACGCGGAACAAAAAGTTCCAAGTAGCACGGGCTATAGTGAGCCCGCATTGTATTTACCTGACACAGGAGCGGGGCTGTAATTGCGAAGTCACTCCTTTATCGGTTAGAAAAGAGATCTGAGGAGAGTCGCGGGGAGGAAGGTTGTGGGGGCGCTGTGTCCTGCCGAGGCGTCCGGGCGGGCCGGCGAAGTCGCAGAGGGAGGGAGGTCGTTTGTCATTATTATTGACGGGATGTCTGTCTAGTTTGACACATCCGCATCACGACAAATTGCCAGCGATGCCGCCTTTGGCACGGGTCTTATGACGGACACCTGGAGGAGTGTGCCACAGGTGTCATCACCGGCCAATACCAGGTTACTAGCACTCACACTGTTGAGATAATAGGTCTTGATTCTGATCGTCACCAACTATCTCCAAGGCCTGGTCGAGGAACGGGCCGCGGGGACGCTAAGCCTCGAAATCATCTCAAGATAACCATCGTTGCACACCACTGGACGCCAACAGTGACCACAGCTACCACTGGACACCAGTGTTGGACACCAAGCCCACCGGACAACATGATGTCCGGGTGCGGACTTGTTCTGGACGTTAGTGGTTCCTGGAAAGTGTGATTCCTGGCAACATTGCACAGTTGTACAGCCGCACTGCAATATTGCAATTATCTGCTTCTCCGTCATTACCTATGTAAATGGTGAACCGACGGCGGCCATGTTGGCGGAGGCGGCCACCTGCCACCATGATCGACATTCCTCCACCACCGTACAGGAGCGAGAGCCGTAGGTGTGGGGCGGTAGAGCACTATTGCCCGGAGGCTCACTTGCTGCCCTGCTTGTCACAGCCGCCCCCGTCTTGTGCACCACTGTGAACCACCACCCTTGTTCCTGTCACTTGTGAACCACTAAGGTCGCCTCCTGGTGCCTCCTGAACCACTGAGGTCGCCTCCTGGTGCCTCCTGAACCACTGAGGTCGCCTCCTGGTGCCTCCTGAACCACTGAGGTCGCCTCCTGGTGCCTCCTGAACCACTGAGATCTACTCCTGGTGCTTCTTGAACCACTTTGGTCACCTTTTGACGCTTCCATGGTCCGCCAGAACCACTTTGGTCGCCTGCCGTTACCTCTATGAACCACCATACTGTTCCTGAGAGCTACCGAGATCGCTGTCGTAGTAGCGTGGTGGATGTTTGGAGTGGTGGGTGTCGAGGTGTGTGGGTATTGCGTCGAGGTATTGCATGGAGGATCAACCACAATGTGTAAATTATGTTTTCGCTTTAATGGCATCAACCAGGCAATGAGTCCCACTCTCGGAGCCAGACTGGGCCTGAAGGAGTGTGGTGAGGGAGGAGGGAGGGAGTGTGGTGAGAGAGGAGGGAGGGAGTGTGGTGAGGGAGGTGGGAGGGAGTGTGGTGAGGGAGGAGGGAGGGAGTGTGGTGAGGGAGGAGAGGGAGTGTGGTGAGGGAGGAGAGAGGGAGAAGGGAGGGAGTGTGGTGAGGGAGGAGGGAGGGAGTGTGGTGAGGGAGGAGGGAGGGAGTGTGGTGAGGGAGAAGGGAGGGAGTGTGGTGAGGGAGGAGGGAGTGTGGTGAGGGAAAAAATGAGCCTGTTTGGTGAGAGATATCCTGAAAGTGAGTCTTTGGACCTTTAATTAAGGGAGTTGAGACCAAGTGAGTTCACGACCAAAGGTCACATTCACTCCAAACAAATCTACCACTTACGGGCTATTCATGCCCGTGCCACCTCTTCGGTGGCTTGATGTCAATCAACCAACCAAGTGAGGGAGTTTGGGCTCCGGGTTGGTACCCTGGCTTGTGGTTTACAAGCAGCCAGAGTGAAGCGAAATAATTCCACGCGTTTTGGGGCTTCATAACTGGCTTTAAGTCACTTACCTGGAGCATACCTGGAGAAGGTTCGGGAGTTCTACGTCCCATGGCCGGCCTGGGACCAGACTCGACCCTAAGCCAGGAGGGGCCTTAGGAGTTTAGACCCTAATAAGCCCTCCTAAGACCTCGCTAACAGTGGTCTACCGGCTTAACCCCTGGCTTGTACCGACACACACACACTCACGCCTTAAGCGCGGCTTGCCTCAACTGGAACACCCCCACAAAAATAAAGATGAACAATCCTGCTGGATTGGTAAGTGCTTCAAGGGACGAGTAGGAGAGTGTCACGGGTCGAGTGTCGGCCCTTGCTCGACCGACCAGTCTCCGACGTTTGAGTCGATCATAAAACTGTGCAATGCTATATCTCAAGAACCAGCTGACCACTTCAGAACATCTTTGATATAGTACCAAGGCATTGTAGAGAGGACGTTACGAAGATGGGGCTACCTACCTTTTGCTGGTTCCGGGGATCAATGCCCACGCGGTTCGGCCTCTGATCTAAGCCTGGCTTAGATCTAAGGTTGGTGGTCTGGGCATCCAGGCTATTAGACGCCGCTACTTACAGTTTGAGGCAAGAATCTTAGTAGGGACCCATATAAATGGTTACTCGAGAAGAAAACTAAGGGACATTGGCACTTTTAAGTGGTGTTAGGAGGACTGGGATTGAACGATTGAAGACTAAGGGGTTCTCAGGGACTGAGCTGTGGATTAAGAATGTCTGGGGCTGAGGGGGAAGAGGACTAGTCGGAGCAGCAAGGGCTCAAGCGTACGGTGATCATGTAAAGATAATGATGGATGGCTGGGCCCAGACGATTGTGGCCGCGGCCTCCCTAAATGAGCTTTCATTTCGTGATAGATGACGACAACACGACCTGTGTTTTTGTGAATTTGTTTTTTTTTTGTTCTGTTTGTTGATGGTAATTAACGTTGTGCGCCAAGGTAATGCTGGGGTCAGATTCACGAAGCAGTAACTTACGAACGTGTACATCTTTCATCAATCTTTGACGGCTTTAATTACATTTATTAAACAGTTTACAAGCATGAAAACTTCCCAATCAACTGTTGTTTTTGTTATAAACAGCCTCCTGGTGCTTCGGAGCTTATTAACTGTTTAATAATTGTAAAGAAAGCTGCCAAAGATTGAGAAAATATGTATAGGTTCGTAAGTGCTTGCGTAACTGCTTCGTGAATCTAGCCCCAGGACGGCATCCTCTTGCGTTTGGTCTAGCTGCGGGAAGGTGATCGTATGGTGTGAATATAGTGAGGATGAACGAATTCGAGAGATGATACTGGCAGTAAAGTATATCAGTCAAGAACACTTACAACCATTCAAGATGTCGGGGGTCCCAACAGACTCAACAATTACTATGATGAGATGCCAAACATTGACTAGCTGGCAGTGTTGGGATTCACACACTACAACATCACGACCCAATAATCTCTTAACTTGGCAGTAGTGCAGATGTAAAAACGTCAACATTGATGTGTTCGTTACCAGTTGATTTTCGAGGGTGTAATGGCACCATTTGTAATGAAGCCACCTTTGTGTAATGACTGACTATGGTCAACACCGCTGTTACCACTTATCGTGAAGTCCATCTTACCTTCACCAGTTTATACCCTTAATAATTATCCTTAGAGTTAAATATGCACAACATGGAACAAGCCACTATCTAACCTTTCAGCAAATCCGAGAGCCTGTTTCATATGAATGGGAGAAAACCCAAGTGTTCAAACTATCTGAATGTTACATAACCAAAAGGATAATTATATAAGACCACCGATTGATGCTATTCTGTCGCCACCATCCTCACTGTTACATTGATGAATTACTGACATTCGTCCCTGACTCATTAAGAAGTCATGAACACAGAACTTATACTTAATTTTGTAATTATCACGAGTAAGTTCTTAATTATTAGTTCTTGTTTATAATTACAGAAGTTATTAATGCACTTCGAGAATCAATTTAAATATCTAAAACAAATCAGCTCAAGGTGTTATGCTCAAAGATTAATTGAAGGAAAAATTAACTAAAATGCCAAATTAAACTTTAAAAACAATTTGTTAATAAGACTCAATAATATCCTATTCTAACATGCTATCCTCGAAGCAAATGATGGGAAATTACCAACTATGACAAAACTCAAAACAGAAATTACCAACTATGACAAAACTCAAAACAGCAGTTACATTGACTC